ACAGTGTCCATTGCACATCTTCATGTCCTCACTGTGTCCAGTGTCCATCTTCATGACTCTACTGTGTCCTTTGTTCATCCTCACGTCCTCACTATGTCCAATATCCACCGCAAACACCTGGAATTGAGCAATCCTCAGGCCAGAGTTGGAGGCCTCCTTGGATTCCTCAAGCCGTGAAAGTTTCTCAGACTTTTTCTGGTTTTTGATTACCTGGCCGGGTTTGTTCCTTCCCTTTCCTCTCACTCCCTTTTCCCCTTCTGGCCTCACTCCCTCTGCTCCTGTCTTCCTTCCTTCCGACTCCTTCCCTCCTCTCTTTCTTTCTTTCAACCACATCATTAAGATCGACTCTTGTTCCTGGTGTTGCAGCAGGCAGACACACAGGCAGCTCCCGTGAGCTCTTAGGAGTACCTGGAGGGCTGGGCTTCCTCTCTTGCTGCAATACCACGAGTGGAGTCATGCATCAGCTGCAAAGAGCTGAAATCTGCCCCAAAGCAGAGAAAGAAGGAAGCATTATCATAGCCCTGCACACTCCTCTGTTGAAGATGCTTCTCCATTTTGGGTCTAATCTTATTTCTATCTCCCTCCAGGTTCCCCTTGCACACCTGCAAGAGCAGGGTCACAGCTGTCCCCCTACATGGAGGGATTCCTACAGCACGCCCTGAGGGCGTTTTGCACCACACTGTCCCATGTGACTCAGTAGCTCAAACTGTTTTTACACTGTGCCAAGAGAGCTCACAACCAGAAGAGGTTCTGGGTGCCCATGGCTGGTTTTCTTCTTTGTACTCTACAGTGTTCATTTCTTTTCCATTATTTTTGTTTTCTTTCCTTATCTGTATTTTTTTTTTAGGATAGACTATACATGAGGAGGAACAGAGACATCGCTGTCAGAGCCACCAAAACCTATTGTGATGGTAACAAATAGCACCCACCAGAGTTCACCAGGGCTAAAGCTTTGGGGAATGAGAAAGACATCCACTCATGTGCAAAATGTAACGAGGACCAGTAACTCAGAAACCCAGATAAATCACCATTTAGTGCAATCTTTGAGAATAAGATGTGTTTTAAAGTAAAAGTCAAGTTCCTAATGAATACATTATCAAAACTATCTTTTCAAGATTTATTTGTTTTTATTATATGTATACATGTGAGTGCCCGCATATATGTATATATAACTTGTGTGGGCCTGGGCCCCATGGAAACCAGAAAAGGGCCTAGGATTTCCTGGAACCCGAGTTACAGATAGTTGTTAGCCACCATGTGGATTCTGGAAACTGAACTCAGATCTTTTGCAAGAGTAGTACATGCTCATCACCACCAAGGCATCTTTCCAGCTCCTCAATATTGAAGTTTTAAAGAAAGACAGTGTTTATTCTTTGTGGCACAGCACGATTGACAACAGACAGTCATTCTCCAATTAGGTAAGGTCAGGCCACAATGACTATGTGTGATGGTTAATCTTGTTAATTTGATGGGATTTGGAATCACCTGGGAGACACACTTCAGTGTGTGTTTGTGATGGAATTTCCAGAGAGGTTTAACTGAGTGGTGTTGACCTACTCTGGGTGTAGGCAGCTTCATCTTATGGGCTGGGATCCTGAAATGAATAAAAATGAGAAACTGGGCTGATCTCCAGCATTCATTTCTCTCTGCTTCCTGTCTATGGATGCAATGTGAACAGGCTCCTAAGCTCCTACCATCCCACCTCCCACCATGATGACTGTACCCACCAAGTGTGAGCCAAGATAAACACTTCCTTCTTTAGGGGCCTTGGCCATGTATTTTGTCACAGTGATGAGAACGGTTAACTAACACACTGTGCACTTTTTACCAGCTGACGTTCGGGCTTGTACTGACAAACACTGGCCATGCTGGCGTGAGATGGACTCACGTTTTCGGATTATCCAGCTTCCATGAACGTTGTGCCCTGGCGTAGGGTCTGAGGATGTTTCTGCAAGCTTGTCCTGCTTCCACCTCTTCCTGGAATTGTGCTTACTTACAAGGCTTCCTCCGGTGCCAAGTAATTTAATCCTTCAAAAACAGAATCCATCTTTGTGTTAGAGTGAAGAGTCTCGGTTTCCCAGTTGTGAGCCTGACAATCTCAAGAACGCCAGCCATGGAGCTTGGTAGTCCAGTATTTCCCAACACTCAAAACTCTTACCGTAGGATATTACTGCCCTCACTGAAGAAAGATCTTCCCTCTTCAGTCAATTTGCTCTAGAAACTCACAGGCCCAAAGGTTTCCCTCATCAATGCCTTAGTTGCTTATCAATCCAGTCAATGGAAATTAGCCATTACAGCATTACAACCAGCCCAATCTGTGGGTGCCAGACCACCTCTGTAGATGCCATCATACCGTCTGCTTGCACCTCTGTCTCTGTTACTTCCTTTGTGGGGTGCAGTGCTAGCGGAAACACTTATGTACATGAGAATGCATGCTTAAGTAAGAATGTGCATGAGTGTGTTCAGACTGCTAGAGGATTCGGAATAGAGAGCATGGTGTTTGTGGCATGCTCCCTTGTACTTACACGAGTGTATGTACATGTATGCACATACTTGCATGAGCAGATATGTATGTATGTATGTATGTGTGTGCATATGGCAAGATATTGTAGAGGAAACTGTCCCAAAGAAGGCAGAGACTGCTCTGGACAGTTATGCCTGGTGGTCTTTGTCTTCTGTCTAGTGGTCCCTATACTCCTATCATGGTGAGACAGTATCAGGCTGCTCAAGGAACAGTTTATTCTTTGGCATCAAGGGAAGAGGAAACTCCTCCAACCTGTCCTCCTCCTCCACTTCAGAAGGCGGCTCAGAATCTTTGCACATGATGTAGTTGTTGCAACTCTGAGGCTAGAAGAATAAATTTGGTTCTCTCTTTTGGTAGAGCCCAGTGTGTATTTTCTGGAATGAAAATCTGAAAGCCCTGCCTATGTATAGAGGGATTTCCATGAGGTATGCTAGGGCCGTATCAAGGGAAGTATTCTCTGAAATGACATTTCCTCCCCAGCCCACACCCAGCATAGCCACCAGGGAAGCTGCTGGCCTGGCCTCAGCACTGGTCTGCTAAAGGGAGGTCCACAAGCCAGAAACTCCTGGCCCTTTCCCAGCTCATGTGCCTTGGACAACTTCACTTACGGAGTCCTAATAGGAAAGGACAAGGCTCTCTGTTACATTGTTGAGTTTTCTTGCAGTGTATGTGATCATGAAGCTTTTAAGACTTTTTTTTAAAGGTATGTATTGTTTCTTGGCCAAAATATTTCAGAACACAGCAGCTAAGACAGGTGGGAGGCTGTGGTGTTCTGGATATGGGAAGGAACATGTGTGAAGGGGACACAGGGGTGCTCACTGAAGTTAAGGGGGGGTCTAGCGGTCTCCTCAGGGCAGGCCCTGGAGCTATGCACGTGGTCTGAGTGTGCTGACCCTCTGAGGCATGTGGGGAGTTCTGCTGGGAGTGAAAAGGTGGGCATACTTCAGAGAAGAAAGGCAGCTGTAGCTGGGGCCAGTAGCCGCAGGCTTTGGAGCCAGGCTTTGCTGAAGGTTCCAGAAGGCTCTGGTTGGGTGTACGTGCCCTTCCCTCAGCCAGCCACGCTTATCTCTGTGTCATTTTGTTTTTAGCCTGTTGTAGTGACTGAAAGGGGCTGACAAGGGATCCGCAACCATTTGGATAATGCTGTGTTTTGAACTTTATGTTGTCTGGGTTTTATTGAACTTTATGAAATAATGGTTCTCCTCTAATATGAAAGTCTACTCCTCTGCCTTCCGTATGAAAGTCTACTCCTCTGCCTTCCATTTCAGTTGCAGCACACTGTGTCCACTGCTGATGTTCCAGTCTAATTTAACAGGTCACAACACTTTGAGGACAAAACTCTGCAAGTTTCATGTCTTTTTTCGTTTTTTTTTCCTAAATAAAGTTCTAAGTCTTGTTAACATTTGTGTTTTCTCTTCCAGGTCCTCCCTATGGTCCTGTAAATCTTCTGATGTGCAGAGCCCCGGGGCTGCTCCTACAGGCCATTGCTTAGTTCCTGACTGTCCTTCACAACCAATCCAAATTCTGTACACCAAGGAGGACCTGGGACAGTGCCATGGCTGCTGTAAGTGCTGAATCGCAGGTACATGATAGGGTGCAGGTTCCACGTGGAAAGACCTTCCACGCAAGTCCTCTCTGCTCACCTTCCTTCCTGCTCTGCTCACTGAGGCTCCCAGCCTCCTCCCAGCATGCCTGCACCTAGTGTGCACTCTGGAGGTTTCAGCTGTCCCAATCCAATACCCACTCGCAAGCACCTAGGCTTATGGGGTCTACATTTCAAATCAACGCCCACGATTCTCCCTTCAGTGTTTACCCACTCATAACTCTGGATGTGGGTTTCTGGAGCACTTGGAGAAAGAAGGCCATGATTCTGTGCATCCCTCACCATACACAGCTTTGGTCTAAGTGTGCCCGTCTCTTCCAGAAAAGGGAGACTCCCCAGGGGCAGGAATCCAGTCCATTGTTTCCTTGTGCCTCCTCTCAGCTTCCATCAGCTCAAAGGTCCTGATAAGCAGGGCAACTTGCGCATTTTAATGACCTAGGGCGCAAGGCCCTGCCAGGCAGTGAGAACACCCTGTATCAAGGCGTACATTCATCCTTGGGGCTCGGTCTGCTTGATGAAACTTTGGCAGCTTATTGCAGTTTCTCAGAGGCCTCTGCTGCTGACCGGAGCGCACAGTCCCACGTGGTAGCGGGGCTAATGAGAACACATGGTGTTTTATTGGGTGGTCACAGGTCACTTTGGCTTCCATTTGTTTTGGACTGGGAAGGGTGTCGGGACCACACAGAAGCAGGGAGAAGCTCCCATCTTCTGGGAGTCCCCACGTATGGACCTCATGTGCAGACCGCATCGGCAGGAAGGAGGACAAGGGTACAGCTGGGGACAGACATGCCATAATTTGAGCTGGAGAAATGGCCTTTGGGCTTTCTTGGAGCTGTGTTTTGTTTTCCTGAATTAACAGACTCCAGAGGCTGAGGCCACCTAACATCGAGTGAGTCCCGGGCAGGAAGTGGAGGTTCACACTGCAAAGGTCTTCAGCAGTGGTTGTTTGGGATGTGTGCTAAAATGTAGGAATTCCCATAAACCCTCCCATCAAAGAGAAGCAGGCAGAATGCTTCTTTCAGGTCCAGAGGTTACTTCCCCAGACAATCTTGGCCTTTTCTTCAGTTGTCCTGGTAGCATGTTGTGTGTCTCTGTGATGCGTAGGTCCTGTGAACTCTTCAAGGCCTCCCAGAACATGCGGGGTAAAGATGCCAGGCACCTCTTTTAGGGAACTGGGTGCATGGTTGGGCCTCTTTAGGGCACCAGGCCTGTGGGCCCTAAGGCAGGATACAGCAGCCTGTCATTCTTACAAGATGTCCCTCCTCATGCGTAGTGGGGGGAAGCAGGCTCCATACCAGTGCTTTGGAAACGAGGAATCAGTGGGCGCAAAGGTTAATAGGGAGCTGAGTCCAGCACACTGCACCTGTCTTTGGGCATCATCCACTGGGTGAACTGGACCTGCCCTGTACAATCCGGACCTCAGCCTGTTAACCCCCAATGGGACTATGGATACAGGACCATTTTGAACCTCTGAGCCTCAGGAGAACCCAAGGGCTTCCAGAAGAGGCCCACATGTTAACAAGTGAAGACTTTAATTCAGGGGGGTGGATTTGGGAACACTTCTACGTTCCCTGTGGATTTGCCAGGGGAACAGAGAAATAATTGGTGTAACAGCTAAAGAGAAGATCTGCTGGTCACATTCCTTCTGCAAACTGCTGGCCACACTGGTTCCATCATATGGTGCAGTCAAGGCCTCAGTCCAACACTGCTGACGTGGACTGGGGATATGGCCACCCTGTGCCTCGGCTCTTTCGGCATCTTGGAGTTGGTCTTTCTCTTTCCTTTCACACACTCCCTCCCACCCACCCCACCCCCCCATCCCTCCAACCCTCACTTCTCACCTGATAAACGGCTCAATACTCTGTTTACTTTGAGTTGGAGCCAAAATGACCTCAGGGGCTGGTGACTCACACTGCTGGCCAGAGAACACAGCCCAGTGACCCTGATGTAAGGCATTCTTATTATCTGAGGGCAGGGCAGGGCCAAGCCAGTCCACTCTCCTCTAGTTACAAACACTCTTTGTGGTTTTGTTTGGACATTTAAAAATAGGCGTGTCCTTTAGCTTAGAGTACTAGAATCCCGAGTGGAGAGAACCCTGCCGGGTCCTTTCTCAAATCTCCAGGTTTCCATGCGGTCACTCGGCTCCGACTGTACCGAGTGGAAAACGTAGCCCTCCTGCCCACTCTATCAGCAGCCACACTGGCCTGCCTACTCATTGTCACCTCTGATGTCTCAGTCTGCTCACACGGACAGTGGTTATGTGGACAGACACTCCCAGGGAAAGAAGGCTCGGGAGATCAGGAGTCTCAGTCTCCTCCTGGTTTCCTCCCAGCATGGGAGAGTCACTGCTCTAATGTCCTGACCTGGCACAGGCAGGGAGATGAGGTGTTCAGGCCCCATGGGTGTCATTTTCTCCCAGTTCCGTGGCTCAGCCTGTTCCATCCTCTGCTCTACTTTCTTTTTTATCTCTTCAACAACAGGGTCAAGGATATGGTGTTTTCAGTTCCAGTTCATAGGTGAAGAGGCTGGGTCTCAGAGCCGGGGTAACTTGATCAAGACACATCCCACAGAGTAACCAGAACAAGCCTCACGGACTCCCCAAAGCACGCTGCTGACTGCTCCACCTCTGGCTGTTTGCTGCTTGCATAATGAGGAGTCAGCACAGAAGCTGGGCCCTGAGGCTGGGCAGGGCTCATGCTCACAGTGGGGAGGGGACCGCAGGCTGAGGGAGGGTCAACAGAACTGTGGGAGTACTCCCACCGTGTCCAAGGGCTCAGGCCAATGAGTAGACAAAAGGCACCCGAGAAGTACCCGACCAAGAGGTGACTGAGATGTCAGACTGCAGGCCAAGTCTTGAGTGGAAAACACCCAACTCAAAGGCCCCTAAATCCAGAGCTACTTATGCAGAGGCTTGGGTGCACATGCAAGCATATACACACATGCATGCATTTGTACACACGTGGGCACAGACCTGTGCATGTGCACACATCCACACACATTGTTTTTGCAACTATAAAGTATAACAATTAAAAAAAAATACATGTAGTCTACATCATAGGCGCTGGGACAGAGCTCCTGACCCCTTGTCATTTCCTGAGTGCTGAGTGGAACATCTTTTGTTCTGATGAAGCAACCCCCTCCAATACTTTGATCAAGCTGGTTGCCAAAAAAAACCAGCCATGGATCTGTAAGTTGGATTCCAGTCCTACCCCCATCTCTGGAAAAGGATGGGACTGGAGGTGGAGGTAGGCACCAGCCCAGTGATGTTGCCCATCACAACTGTATAATGCAACTTCCATTAAAATCTAAAAGACAGACTCCTGAAGCTTTCTAAGGACTGGACAGTGGAAATTTCTGGGGGAGCATGCTCCCTTTGAATGCTGCTGCTTCTCGCGTGCCTTGACCTCAACATCTTTCCAATGATATTCTTCATAATATTCTTTTTTTCCAGAAAGGAGTGAATGTAAGCAAGGACTTCCCTGAGTTTTCCTCTAGCAGATTCATCAAACCCAAGCTGAGGGTGTGGAGACCCCACTTACAGCCTGCCAGTTAGAAGCTCAGGCAAGACCGGGAGCTTTCGACTGGCGCTGAAGGTCTGAGGATGAGGGCTCAGCCTGTGGTTCTGACACTGTCTCCAGGTAAGCAGAGTCGGGGCTGAACTGAATCAGAGAACAGCAGCTGGAGTGTCCGTGGAGAAGGTGGAACTGCCTGCTGATTGGGTGAATCCTCACAGGCAACCGCAGAGTGTGCTGCATGTGAGAGTGAGTGGGGAAAGATGTCTTCCTGCATCTGACAGTCACTGACAGGAATTCAGAGTCCATCCGAGTTCAGCCTGCAGATCTCCACAGCTGCCACGTCCCTCAGTTCTGCTAGTCTTGAGATTCTTTTCTGTTCTACAAATTGAGATGACATCACTCGGGGGAGACTTTCAGAGCTTCTCTAAGTGATCGGATTTCTCCCCATTATTGTTCATGCTACACCACCTGGAGCAGGGTGTGTGTGTGTGTGTGTGTGTGTGTGTGTGTGTGTGTGTGTGTGTGAGAGAGAGAGAGAGACAGAGAGACAGAGAGAGACAGAGAGAGACAAAGAGACAGAGAGAGAAAGCACCAGGGAGTGAAAAGTGAACCAACCTCCTGCTGTATAGCCAAAAAGGGGATGTGACAAGAGTGTTTACGTCAGTCATGGAAGTCCTTTATGAACTATACTTGTACCAATCACATGGCTTCTGTTGGGCCACAGGGTACAGGCTCCCACTGTGGCGGGCTGAAAATGGCTGTTAGAGTTCGCTGAGGCTTGTGATAGCAGAAAGGTCCAGTACAAGCTGTTCTATGAAATGGTCATGGCTGGAATGGTGCTGTCTGGAGCTGGAGCAAGCAGCTGGGGTCAAATGCAGCTTCCTTAAGGAATCCCTACAATGTTCAACGCAACTGGGCTGCCATGTCGGCAGTCAAGCTGGCTGCTTGGCAGACTGGTCTCTGCTTGGCAGTAGCTGGGGTAGCAGGTCTAATAGCTGTCAGTTAGGGAGTCAAATCGCTGGTCTCCAACAACTCAGTGTATGTAAAAGGAAAAGAAACATTAATAAGGGTATTTACAACAAAGGCTGGCCATTAACATTACCAAGGCCTTAACAATGTCTACTCTTAGCCAAATACACTTGGGGGAAACTGGATCACTTCCTTTTTCTCAGAATGGTATCGGAAGTTCTCCAGCATCTGTGCCTAAACTTATTTCTGTGGGTGCCTGTTTTCTGTCTTAGAGACCACTGCATTCAAATAAATCTTCAAGTCAGAAAGACAGACAGACAAAGAAGGAGGGAGAGAGGATGCCTCGTTCCTGTGAAAAAAGTCTTTTAACCCTGATGGGAAAATACAAAGGTGAGAAAATCTTTTTCTGCAAGAAGATGGAGCCGCGGTGAGCCCTTCCCACGCTCAGCTGCTCAGCCAGGCTCGGCTTTGCCAGGGTAGAAGTTCCACTCCCGTTTCCTGTTCAAAGACCCAAGTGCAAAGGTCTCTTCTGCCTGATGGATTAAAGCAGGCAAGAAAGCAGTTCCTAGATTGCTAAGAGTCGGCGAAAGGCAGAGGACCTAGGGCTCTCAGGAACCAAAGTTTAAGAGAGAGACTGGGACCAACAAAGCAGCTCTGAGAGAGAACACTTCTCGTCAGTGCCAGAAGCCCTGTCCAGACCCTGACCTGAGACTGAGACTCAAAGACTGTTATCTTATTTATGGTCACTACAGACAAAGGAGCCGGGGCCATGCAGATACAAAACATATGCTCCCCTCAGACGGCCCCACCCGGGAGCTGTCCCCACAGGACAGCAGGGAGGGGCCCTCAGCACATATGAACCAGAGCCAGCTGGAGAAAGGAGCATTTTCTCTAACTGTGGAGAGATTGGCAAGGTCACATAAGGCACTCCTGAGTTTTCAGGGTTCAGCCCCTCCTCACTGTCTTTTCAAATCTGAGCCTCGGGGAGGAGAAACCAGCTTTTTATAGAGTCATCCAGTTTAAGGGTTTTCTTTCAGCCATACAAAGACCCCAAGGCTTTCAAGGGACAGTCAGGGATGGGGACAGGTGTAGGGTAGCTCAAAGCCCTCTGAGTGTCTGAGATGGATCAAGGGTCTGCTCTCCTGTCCTGTGTACACTCCTGACCCAGGAACCTGGTCTCTGCTGTCAAGGGGACTAATCTTACTTTTAAGGAAACTTTGCTCTCATGGAAGGCACTTGTTAGTCGTTTTTCTCACTGCTGCAACAGAATACCCAACAAAATCAACTTCAGGAAGGAAAGGCTACTGTGGATCACAGCTTAAGGAATGTAGCCCATCAATGCCACCGGAACATGAGGCAGCCGGTCGGTTACATTGTGTCGCAGTGAAGAGGTAGAGAGAGATGAAGGTTTATGTTCAGCTCCCTTTCTCCTTTTAACGCAGTCCAGGACCCCAGCCCACAGAGCAGTGTCGTCCACAGTTAGGGTGGCTCAATCCACCTCAACTAACATACTAGAACAGTGGTTCTCAACCTATGGGTTGGGACCCCAAACCGCTAGGAAAACATAGATATCTACATTGCGATTCATAACAGTCGAAAATTACAGTTATGAAGTAGCAATGGAAATAATTTTATGTCTGGGGGTCAGCACACCATGAGGAGCTGTGTTAAAGGGTCTCAGCATTAGGAAGGTTGGGAACAACTGCTCTAGCAGCTTCCCCATAGAAGTGCCCAGAGATTTGTCTGCTCCGTGGTTCTGAATTCTGTCAAGTTGGCTACGAACATTAGCCATCACAGCATCTGTAATGGTTTGTCTTGGCAGTCAACTTGATTGTGTTAAGAGGTGCCTAGGACTGGTGAAACATACTCCTGTGTGTGTGTGTGTGTGTGTGTGTGTGTGTGTGTGTGTGTGTGTGTGTGATTGTTTCCAGATGGTTGATTTGTGGGACAATAATTAGAACTAAAAGAAGACTCTCCCTGGCTGGAGGAAGCACTTTGAACGGATGTCAGTCCTAGGGTATAAGGAACTTGGTGGATGCTGTGACACCTAGCTGCAAGCTCCTTTCTTATCTGAGCATGTCTGCTGCTCCTGGATCCGCTGCTGCCACCAGACTCCAGCTTCTTCTAGCCTTTCAATCTAGACTCCACACCAGTGGCTCTCCAGGGAGCTTCCGAGACCCCAGCCCTTCAGCAGTAGATTAGGACTGCTGAGGCATCCAGCCTCTTAGACTCACAGCTCCCAGGTTCTCAGTCTCTCGAGCATGCACAAAGCCATTGTTGCCCTACCCAGTCCATACCATGTGTGCCGATCTAGTGAATCCCCTTTTACAATGTGTACAGACATTCTATAGAAAACCCTTGCTAACAAAGCACCGTTCTCCACGTTTCCCATAGCTGTTGGGTTCAGCTCACACCTTAGAATATCTGGCCTCTAATGAGACACAAGGAGACCTTGGCCACCTGGCTCAGAGCAGTGAGGCAGAGGAACAAAGAGAATGGTACCCAGGAGAGGATTCAGGAAACCGCCTCACACAACACATCTTCTTCGTAGAAACAGAAATAGCCTAAGCATCAGTTCTTCTGGGTCCTGAGGCCGCTCCACTTTCTTGACAGACCTGTTGTCCTTAAGTCAGTGGTGTAACAGGACAGCAGTGCCCTGTCCTGTTCAGGTAGTGAAAGGATGAACGGCACTAGTGGGTTGGAGGGCCCGGTGGAAAAGTTACGAGCCACAGCTATGACTACCAGAGTTAGAAAGAGCTTTATTAGAAAGAAACCAGGATACGAGGGAGAGACAGAAAGATGGCTGTTGCAGGGCAGAGAGGAAACAGAAAGAGAGAGGGGTCGGGGGCCACGGCCAGCCTTTTTTTAAGGCAGGGATTGCATGATCACGCCGTGGGTTCGTCGCCCGCATCCCCCTGATGACGTAAGACATTAGGCCCAAACCGTGAATGTACGGAATCCTAACAGGTAGCCCACAGTTTTTCAGAGATGTGAGGACCCAGCATGTGCCCCCTTTAGCTCACAAAATGAGTTCCTGACATTCCATGTTTCCCAGACAGTTTGTAAATAGACTTCACTTAAATAACACAGAGAACTTCCTATGTAAATGAATCCTCTTGGAATCCCATGAGTTAAGGAGCTCTTCACAGTGTGGAAAATGTGAGCCCGTTTAGTAATGTGGGTTTATCATATTTTCTCAGTGGGCCTGGACACAGCATGCATGGGAAGAATGACAGTGATTATAATGGAGACGACACTCACCAGCTGCTTCCTGTGCCCTACAGTCGGTAGGAGATGTGTCATGCTACGTGGGGTGGGGGAGGGTTCAGATGTAAAGAATAAAATTTGCTGACACCGGGGTCATCTTTTCTGAACTGCATTCTCATTGCATTTGACCAGTACAACAACATATTGTGACAAATGTAAATAAAGCATGAACTAAACATCTGACAGAGCACATTATTTAGAGGGAGTGTTGCATGTTATGTTGGCGGGTGTATGTGCATATGTGTTTATACTCAAGGTTAGGGATGCACATAGAGAGTTAAACATCTTCAAGAGCTCAACAACAACAACACTTAAGTAGACATGTTTTCCTTAATGAAAGAAAAATTAGCTGGTCATGGTGGTACATGCCTAGATTAAAGTAGGATACATTAAGAGAGAAAAATCAAGGTCAGCCTGGGTTACAGAGTGAGACTCCATCTCAAAAGAATTTTTAAAAAGGGATGAATTTTAAATCCTAAAAAATTATTAATCCAAATGTCCATGGATGATTATATCTGAGAATAAGAACTAATCCATAGCCAGGTGGTGGTGCATGCCTTTAATCCCAGCAATCAAGAGGCAGAGGCAGGTGGGTCTCTGTGAGTTCGAGGCCAGCCAGTTCCAAGACAGCTGGGGCTGTTACACAGAGAAGCCCTGTCTCAAAAATAAATGAATGAATGAATGAATGAATGAATGAATAAATAAATAAGACCAAAAAAACCTAATTCACATTCATCTTATTCCTAATTTTTTCTTTACATAAGAGTAGCATTGGTTGTTTGAAGGAATGGAATTAAAAGGCATTGAAATGCCCTTCTGTTTCCTGACATCTAAGTTACATACAAAATTATACAATTGCTTAATAGCCTAACTTCAAAAGTATTTTCAATGTCTTTTTCTCTTGAAGAACTGAGCATTGAACCCAGGGCCTTGTGCATGCTAGGTAATCACTCACTGCTGAGCCACACAGCCAAACCTCTTTTTACTTTTTATTTTGAAATAAGGTCTCAGTAAGTTATTCAGGCAGGCCTTAAACTTGTCATCCTCCTGCCTCAGCCTCCCAGTAGCCAGAATCACAGCCCTGAACCATCAGGCCTAACCCCAGTGTTCTTTAATTATGTGGGATTCCCGTGCTTCTTTAGCTGTATTGGTGGGGGAGATCCCCTCTCCAGTCTCTACTCCACCTTCCCCTCCCCCTCCATTCCCCTTTCCCTCGTGGCCTTCCAGGCAGTGGGAAGCCTGTTTTGCTTGGAGATAATGCACTAGCCCCAGAGTGGGAGAATGAATGGCAATCTTCAGTGGGGGAGGCAAGCTGGGGTCGTCTTCCACAGGTACATTCCAGGTACATTCCAGGTCATCAGTGTTCCACAGGGAATAAAAGAGAACAGGAGAGCTCAGCACAGGTTCTCTTACCAGGTCCTGTTTGGTTGGTATGGTTGTGAGAAGTCTTTTGATCCTGGGTATACGTATCCAGCTGTTCAAGACCGCTGTGGGAGGTTTCCATTCAAGATAGTGGGGACTAATCAGAAAATAAGATGCAAAGTATGAGCCGATTAGCATCAGTATCACCCTAACTTGACTCATGACTTTGAAAGCAATCAGAATAACCACTGCTCTCTGTTTAGCATATATATGGCTTTGCAGACAGTCTGCTCTCCTGGGAACAAGTGCGTCTCTCCATGACATATGTAGCTTCATGCTGACTGCAAAATAAATTCAGAGCATGAGCTGTCTGATGAGCTGATGGGGCCTTAGCCGGTGAAACATGCAGACTGCCATCACTATAACGTCTTCACACCAATCGGCCAGCGAGCAGACACACACGGCAGGAAGTTAGAAAGGTGTGTGTTCCGTGTCTGAGATAGAAAACAGAAGCCTCTTGAAGTCAAGTTGTTCATCCAAGATCACACAGCAAGCAGCGTAGTGGTCTTTAAACAAACTGGATCCCCTCTGTCCTGTAAGGCCACTCCAAAAGACTCTCTGCCACGTCAAGACTCTTGAAAGATCGCCCACCGGTGTCCAGCCACACCTCCTGCTCTGCAGCTGCGCAGAGGAAGGTCACACTCAAGTGGAACCCTCCTTTTCTCCTTCCATCTGAGGAAAACTAGAAGTAACTAGATGAACACCACGTGATGACCGTCAAATCAATACTAACTGATGTTTAAGCTCAGGTTTCCATAGCAACCCTCCTGAACACTTCATCCCTTCCTGAGCAGTGCCCATGACCCAGCACCTCCTACCAAGTCCCACCTATGAAAGCTTACCATCTCACACCACCACACCAGAGCCCAAGTCTCTGCATGCCACCTCCAGGAACACTAGGCTGTGTCCTCCACATCATAGGGCTAAACAACTTCCTTTAAAAAAAAAAAAAATGATCATCATCCTAATGGATGCAAGATACCAAAGGCTCTTTGTGCATTTTGATTTGCATTTTCCTAATGGTGCCTGGTGTTAAATGTCTTTTCGTGTGTTACTATATTTCCTCTTTGAGCTGTTAACTTGGGAGTGTGTACTCTAATTTCCACAGATGTGTGAACTTCCCAGTTCTGTTACTGGTTTCTAGCTTCACTGCAGAGAAGACTCTTGGTAGGATATGTATCTTTTAGAATCTACTGGGGTTTTCTTGTGACCCGTATTGGTGTTACTGGGCAGATCCTTCTGCATATATATTCTATAGCTTTTTTTAAGGTTTCTATGGGGTTGCATTTTCCACCCTAAATGAAAACTTTGTACTGTGAATTTATATCAATCTAACTCCAAGTACATACAAAATCCCAGTCCATGCTACCCTTGGGTGGTACACTGCACAGACCAGCCAGGTCTAGCTGAGGGTTATGTGGTTTACAACTCACTTCCTTACTCAGTCAGTTGTTCCAAAGCTCGTGGAGAGTTCTGTACTAAACACCTCTGTGGGGTTGACTGCTCCTCCCTTCCATCTGAGAGGCTTCGCTTTACTGACTTCACTGGTCAGTTAGATTCCTAGACAGCTTAATTGTCACACCTTCTTGCCAGGCTGAGCCTTTTACTGCTTAAATGTCGTTTTTTTGTCTCTGGAATCCTTCTCAAACACAAAATCTGAATTCAAAAGGCTTCTCTTAAAAGCTGCTTTATCCACACTGCTCTCTTAATTACATGGGATGTCTTTTCCCATGCTTTCACTTAAATCTATTTGTGTCCTTGGACCCTCAGCCTTTTGCACACAGTTAGACCCTGAGTTTTCTATGCTCTTTGCCAGTCTCTATTATTTGACTGGAGACTTTAGTCTGTTCACATCTCAAGCAACCTGACGAGGACACACAGACAGACTTCTGACGTCCTACTCTTTGTCTCCTACTTGCCTTGTTGGTTTTTTTGTTGTCTCTTTTCCTGCATTACAGTGGTATGAGTTTGATTTTTCTCCTACTGAACCACTTTAGTCCCTTCTCATTTCCATATGCATGTATTCTATAGCTATTTTTGAGGTTTCCATGGGGATTACATTTTACACCCTAAAATGAAAACCTCGCAATGTGAATTTATACCAACCTGACACCAAATACATATAAAATCCTGGCTCCTGGACAGTTCCTATTGAAACTGTTTAGTTACCGATGTCTCAAAATTACATGTTTACACATCGAGTGTCCACAAACAGGTCAGTGATCTCTTCAAGTATTCATCTCCTCAGCCACACAGGAAACAAGTGGGCTTACAAACCAGGTTACCACTTTTCTAGCTGTTCACATTTACCTGCACCCGTGAGAATCACCTATGATTCTCCTCATGGCTGCAGGTCTTTGTCTAGTACGCTTTCATTGACCCGAAGGTTTCTTTTCTGCATTGGATTATTAACTGTTTATCCCCAGGAGTCTGTCAGCTGGAAAGGTCTGAGTCCCCCCTCATTTTGGAAGACAGTTTGAAATGGAAGTCTGTGAGAATGACAGTGTGTGCTGTCCTTGTCTTGGAAGGTGGGAGCCTCCAATTGAAGCTGGAGTTAAAACCTGGGAGATCAGAGAAGTGAACTCTGGTAGGGATCTGAGTATGGAAGGCAGAGAACCTTCTAGAAGGAAAAGGAGTATATTTAAAGGTCCTGTGGAAGGATAATGTGAGCTTTGAAAGGCAGTAGAGCTATGGAACAGACCCGAGAGCCCTGGACTGTAAATTTTTGTTCTGGATGGAAGGTCGTCTTTCCATCCATCAATCGTGACAGGCCCAGCATGGAGCAGCTGTAAGGGAGGAAGCTAAGAAGGCCATCGAAGGAGTCGATGTAAGACACTGGTAACAGGACTCTCAATACCTCTCCTCAAGGATGAAGTTCCAGACAGCTGACTAGGGACAGGTATAGCAGTCTCCTGAGCAGGGCATGCCTCGTTTTTTTTTAGCAGAGACATCCGAAGACTCACCTTGTAAATGTCTCTCACTGACTTGTTTTTGCCTTGGGGATCCCCACTGTGAGCTGGACTGTAGGTGTGGGTAGAAACAAACCAATCCACCTGGCCTCAGTCTCTGATCTCCGTCCATCGCCTACTTGGGCTGCAGATAGGTATGGGCACCAGGGCTCACTCTTCCCTCTGACAACGGCCCAGAAGCCCCTCTTCAGTCCTGGCGTCCTCGGAAGAAAAGGAGTGGGGACCTTGCTTTGCAGTGAAAGGCACACCTGTGCCCTCTCTAACCCAAACTGCTTATGGTGAAGACCAAAGAAGGGAGGAGAAGGAAGAGAAAAGGGTGGAAATACTGACCGCAGTCAGATTTGCATTCACCCCAGGGCAAAGTCTCAGCAGCACCTGGTAGGTGGTCTTGCAAAGGAAACTAAATGTTTAGGGCACCTCATCTCAGTCTCCTGAATGTTGTGTGTGTGTGTGTGGGGGGGGGTTGTGTACCAGGTGCTGCTGTTGGGAACAGGCAATAGTTACACTGGCTGATGAGCACACCCAGCATGAAAGCATGCAGGACTCCCTGTCTCTGGATGGCATAATTTAATATGGATTGACTCTTTATTTAGCAACTTCTGTTCAGAAATAAAGCTGACTGACAGAATAATAAATTGATAAATAAATAAGAATCTCCAAACACAGTCAGGATCGATCCCATCAGAGCATCTGGGGACATGCCACAAAACAGACTTCTCTGTTATAGCTCAGAATTTTCTGGGTCTTTATGCTTAGCCAATTAAGATTTATTGACTAA